TTTTTATTTTGGTATGTATCATTTATCAAATCTCGAGATTTTTTTCTGCAATATTTAACTTCAAACAACCTAAAAAAATTGTGAAATTTGTTACCAAAAGAAACCCCAAAGATTACCGGCAATATATTGTGTGTAAATAACTATGAAGTGTGTTACCAAAAAAACCGATATTTTAAATGATTTGTTATAAAAATCTGAGATTTGTTATCACAATTCGAGATTTGTTATCACAATCAGATCAAATTTGTTAACAAAATTCAAGATTTTGTTATCAAAATAAGATCAAATTTGTTACAAAATTCGAGATTTGTTATCAAACTCCGATCAAATTTGTTACCAAAATCCGATTAGATTGGTTGACATGTTGGGCCCATTAATATTGCTTATATTAGTAAGTCAACAATTAATTTTTTATTTTGAACATTATGCGACATATTAATGTGACATAATGTTTACCAAAATTAATGAAGTTTGTTACAATTTAATTTGGTATGACTTTTTGGATTGATTGAAAAATAATATTTTTATTTTGATATGTATCATTTATCAAATCTCGAGATTTGTTTCTGCTATATTTAACTTCAAACAATTGAAAAAAATTATTAAATTTGTTACCAAAATAAATTCCAAAGGTTATCGACAATATTGTGTAAATAACTATGAAGTGTGTTACCAAAAAAATCAATATTTTAAAATATTTATTATCAAAATCCGAGATTTGTTATCACAATCAGATCAAATTTGTTGTACAAATCTAAGATGTGTTATCAAAATCCGATCAAATTTGTTACCAAAATCCAATTAAATTGGTTGACATGTGGGGCCCATTGATGCTTATATTGGTAAGTCAACAATTAATTTTTTATTTTGAAGATTATGTGTCATATCAACGTGACATAATGTTTACCAAAATTAATGGAATTTGTTAAAATTAAATTTGGTAAGCCTTTTTGGATTGTTTGAAAATAATATTTTTATTTTGATATATATCATTTATCAAATCTCGGGATTTTGGATGCAATATTTAAGTCCAAACAATCGAAAAAAATGTAAAATTTGTTAACAAAAGAAATCCCAAAGATTATCGACAATATATTGTGTGTAAATAACTATGAAATGTTACAAAAAAAAAAGAAAACGATATTTTAAAAGATTTGTTATCACAATTAGATCAAATTTGTTAACAAAATTCGAGATTTGTTATCACAATCCGAGATTTGTTATCACAATCAGATCAAATTTTTTAACAAAATCTGATATTTGTCATCAAAATAAGATCAAATTTGTTACAAAAATCCGATTAAATTGGTTGACATGTGGGGCCAATTGATATTGCTTATATTAGTAAGTCAATAATTAATTTTTTAAGTCAAAATTACTAATTTTGTATTTTTCCAACAAGTGAGATTGATATTGCTTAAATTGGTTGACATGTGGAGCCAATTGATATTGCTTATATTATTATTATAGATTTCAGTCGACAAGTGAGATTCGATCACTTAAACAGAGACAATTACAAATGATACGTGAGTCGTGATTGTTATGATTCACTGCTATTCGGTTAGGTGCAAATTCATAAAAGCAAATAAAACTTTATATATTATATTTGTGTATGTAATAGTTAAAATAATGAGTTAAATAATGAACACATTACATTTTTAAATTTTATCATTAGTAAAAAATAAACGATATAAATATAAATTATTTAATTTACATATTATTTATAGAAAATAATAATATTATTATTATAAATATTATTATTATTATTAAAATTGTGTGTAAAATTTTAAAGGATTTGGTTATGCCACAAAAAATAATTAACTAATTTTAATGAAAAAAATATTAATGAGCTAAAAAATATTAATTTTAAATAAATAGTTTCAAAAAGTTCAAAATATAATATTATTTTATATAACTTTATAATTAAATTGTAGTAGCTATTGTGCAATAAAATAAATAAAAAAAATATAATTAATTGATTAATGCAAAGAGTAAGGAAAAAGAATGGGAAAATAAAAACAACTGTCATAACTTTTTTGTCAACTTTATAGATAGGTAGACAAATAGATAGAGAAAGAGAGACAGAGCCACGTACCTAATTAAAAGGTCCAATACATATACGTTAGATATGTTTTGTTCTAGCAAATTTTCAT